TCGAAAATTTATGTGTATTCGTATGGCAGTCTGTGCGCGTCAGCGTCTCACGCGTCTGACACTGTAAATTTGTGATGTAGATTATAGCCTAGTTGTGTGCATATTAGGAAAACATTATCTGACCAAGAAAAAGGCTAAAGCTTTACTATAATTAATGAATACGAATTATGTACTAAATCCAAAATTTTAAAGATGAATCACTGACAGAAATTTTTCTGTTTGGCTAGTATCAAATGTTTACATTTGCTGATATTGGGCTCTACTCTCTAGTCCTAGACAATACAATACAATACAATACTGTTTCTTTTAAAAATCTTATAAACAAGACGTGCAAAGCATAGCAACGTTCTCAAAAAAAGGACAAATCTAATGCTTGTTTTAGAAACATTAGATATGTAGAAATGGTGACCACTGAAAAGCCCATAAACGTTTGTTATATTAAAACCGCGCTCGTGTGTGAAGAGAGCATTGAATAATAATAACACGAGAGAGCACTGTGAGTAACGATTTGCTTGGTTTCTTGACTTGACTGTTGGTAAAAATGTTCTTGTAAATTCAAAGCAAATAAAATAAACAAAAATTAGCAAGTATTTTGAACTTACTGGTAATAGTTCGCAAAATTTATGTTTTTAACTGTTTGTAATTTGATACTTTCACCACACACCCCTCGGGCAATCAATTTTGGACGAGGCACGTGACCAGCCGATACCAGGGTCTTTCCTAAAGACCCTGGGAACGAGGTTGCAGCAGAACATTTCACACGCTCCAATTACAGATTTAGGCAGCAAATAAAAAAATATAGATGACTCGCTGACAATTTCTGGCTACATTCGATCGCCGCGTGTGACGGAAGCCGATATACAGTATAATACATCAATGGCATCAATCTGACTTAGCAACATTCGAGTAACCAAAAACGGAAAATTAAAAAAAAAGAATTTATATCTCGATCTTCGTGCTTTTCGCATCTGACTATATTCAATACTTTAATAGAGTATAGCCTCCAGCAGAAAAACTCTTGGATTCTCAGGCACATTAATATTATATATTGTAATAATTTACTCCAGATCCAGAACAATTTTACTCTTTTTTGGGAGTTGAAACGACCCCTGGAATAAAATTAAGGAGTACAAATTACTCCATAATTTCTACTCCTAAAAGCGAGTTTAGTTTACTCCTCCAGCGGAGTTAAATTGACTCCTGATGGAGTAAATTATAGAATGCGCGCAGAAGTGGAGTAGTTTTAACTCTATTTTGGGAGTAGATTTACTCCACAATTTTTACTCTCCCGAGTTGAGTAGTTTTAACTCCTATGGTGGAGTTAAAATAACTCCTTGAAATTAACAGTGTAGCAGAGTAAAAATTATTGTCTCAGACATACATATATTATACAAAGTACGTCATAATATATAATAGAATCTATATTATAATAAAATAAAACCTTTACGTGAGAAATCCAAGAAAACTCTAGTTCAAATCGAAGTATAGCTTCGCGATCTAAAGGTTTCTAATAAATAATAAATTATGTGATGATGAAAATAGAGTAATATATGCAACATATGTAGGCCTGAACTGGAATTAATAGGTTGTCTTTTATAAATACGCAACAATTTGAAACAAACAATGAATCAACATCTTAACAACACAAACTTGACATTTTTCTTGCAAAATATTTCCAAAATACTTCTGATACCGAAAATATTTGTGGGTTTTTAAAATTTTAAACTGGTTTACACAATAGAGTTTTTGACTTTTGGCAGGAAATACAATTTGTCCTTTGAACGTTGTTGATTTTTCTTTCGTCGCCATGTACAAAACACTCAGGAATGTCTGTTGATATCAACCCGGAACAAGTTCTATGACTTACGCGACTGGTAGTACATGCAGCACATCAGTGGCATATCAGGAAGCCTCTAGCTCTAGCCGTATGGTTGTTCTTTTCCAGATATGATTTTAAATTTTCGTTATTTTGCAACCCATGCATCTTGGTAAATTATAATTCAAAACTTTCAAACGTTTTCGCAATTGCCCAGAAAACGAAATAGCTAGCTCGCAATTCCTAAATATGATTCTCAACAGTTAGATATAAAAAATTATATTTTAACTTCATTGGGCAAAATTTTTATAACGCACGCGCACCATTGAAATGCAAGTGGGTAAAGCATGATCTCTCTACATAAATTTAGACTCCTTACATACACAGGCGGTCACGCAAAAATCTCACATCTTGTATCAAGTATGCCAACAAGCGTCAACAAGTTCTGTTCGCACTGCTTGTTCCAAGTTGTCATCAAATTTGGAGCCAGATATGTTAATAACTTGTAACAACCTTGATCATATATTATCGGAATGTTGCATGGTTGTTCCAACAAGTCCGATACAGTCGTGATATAACAGTATTGTTACAACCTTATGTTGTGACTTGTTATCAACCTTGTAACAATGTTGTTGTATGATGACTCTGATCATCTAAAAAGTCTGATAAAGTAACAAGTCTGACAATGCTATCAATTTAAAGCTTGTTATAAGTTGTTAACAGCGTGTTCCACTCTTGTTACAACAACTAGTAACAAGCAGTTCGAAAACAATTTGTCGACAGCTTGTGAAACAAGTTTGTTTGAAGACCTGCACAACTTGTGCGTTTTTACATGCAAAGTTTCTTGCATACATATGGTAAAGACACCAACTCCGCAATTAGTGTGAAATCGCGCGGTTGCTACTTGGTGTTTCACGCGTACATAGGCGATCACCAGGCAACTTCGTACTAACGACAGTAATATTTCTACTTTAAAATTAAAATAATAGTTATTAATACAAATGCAACACTGAGGGAACTGTCGAGAAATATGTCACGAATGCAATGTATTACAGATAGCTTGATCTGCAACACTGTATCAGATTGTGTCACAATCTTATATAATGTTTGCCAATTCTTTCACTTATTGTCTCACGGATGTTGCGATGCAACGTCTTCATGTGAGTCTCTGTGGTTACTTGAGTGTGAGGTGAGTGTCGAGCAGTTAAACAATTAGTGTGGCGGATATGTGCATGGATGTTTCCGAAGAGGGTTAAAAGCACCAAATTGTGTACAGTAGCATCTTTTTATGAGTAGAACAACATGCAAAAGTGGGGCCATCGTAAAACTGTTCTTTTTGGAGAGCTATGATGCTGTTAGCATTATTTGCTATTAAATTCCACTACAACAAAAAATGTGAGATTTTGAATTCAATCGCGACAAATATAACTTGCATCATCAGAAAGCATGTAAAAAACTACATAAAAGACTTTTAAACAGTTTTTTTATTCTTCCACTGGTTATTGCTGTAAATTAGGCACATTATCTCGCTAAAAATCCTTAATTAATTATTCCATGTTTTAAAAATGCGTTTTTAACAGTTTATAGTTCGAAAACTATTTCAGAAATAAAAAAAAACTGTCTAAACGTCTTATATGCAGTTTTTTATAACCTTTCTGATGATGCAAGTCATTTTTGTTGTAATTCAATACAAAATTTCACATTTTTTGGCTATAATAGAATTCAATAGAAGAAAATCACTAATTAATCACCCGTTTTCAGGAGTTAGCAGCAAAATAGCGATGGGCCCACTTCAAATATCTATTAAGCAAATAAAACTACATCAATTGTAAAAGTTTGATGCTTTTAACCTCAACGGGATCTACTGATCAATAATTTTACACAAATCCGCCTCACTAAATGGGAAATGGACAGCTTGCTTTGCGCGCATTATTTGCCTGCGAATGGGGCCTTTCAAAACCGGAAATCGGGTTGGAGCACGCGTTCGTTTTTTTTATTTGGTAAATGAAGCACGACAAATGAGTAAAATGGCAAAATTCGCAGGGTGTCCGGTTTGCAAAAGCAACTGCAAACTGCTCTAATTCTTTCTATCACTTTCATTTGATCTTATCCATGAGTCGGCCTCAATGGCTTTTGATTTTTTATTTGTTCTGTAACAGGACAATAAACGTAATTCGTGACACTGAACGACACATTAAAAAGCACATCCTTCAAACTCCATTTAGTACCTGTCAAAAATGCATGCAAAAGTGCCAATATGCTTCAACTTCTTTAATTTTCATTCTGTTCCTACCAAATTTCCCACGAACATAGAACATATCATTCTTACAAATCGAATGTTTTTTGTCTTTGAATTGATACTTTTTGGCGGGTAAATTACGTCACAAATTTGGCGCTAAAAAAGGTAATTTCATCCATACACTTAGAAGAGCAGACTAAGGCTACCCAAAAATTGAAGTCAGCTTCGAAATACAACCACTCCTTGCGAATATATACAGTAAAGACACGAATTTCCAAAAACCCGCCATTTTCTTCTATTTTTAGTAACAAAATGGCCGATTTTTCGACATTTGTATCCCTATATCTTCGCGAAAAATGTTTGTATTTAGAAACAAACTTCACTTTGAAGACTTCTCAAGGTCATCTACCGAACAAGTGCGTACAATTACCAATAGCTATAACTGTTAAATTTTAGAGCTAAGTTTGTGACGTCATTTTCCATTCGAAAAACAAAAACATACGATTTGTAAGAATGATATGTTCTAGCTATGTTCATGGGAAATTTGGTAGAAACAAGATGAAATTGAAGGATATTGGCGCTTTTGTATTCATTTTTGACAAGCGCGTCGAATCTTGAATTTGAAACTATGAGTCCAAGCGTTGCACGAGTCCACAAGTGCAGTTCTGGTTTTGTACTATATCAATCATCTTAATTAGGCCGTTAAATCTTCACATTGCACGTCCCACTGACTGCCAAATACGTTGATCTACGTTGTTTATCTTATATATAAATAGAAATAACGGCCAGGCGAAGTAACTGTCAGTTATTGAGGGAAAGCTTCAGAAGAAATTAAGAGACTCTGACTGCAGGCCTTTGTATGATAATGCTAAAGCTTGTCTGTACGGTGAAATAGGGCCAGGGGGAAATAACATTAGTTTGAAAGAAGGGTTCAACTGGAAATCTCGCATTTTGCCATTTCGTAAGGAAATTATCAGTCACGACTGATCATACAAATATGTGCATGATACTGTGATTAATTTGTCTGTGTGATTAAACAGTGGATTAATTAGAACCAAAGAAATGAAACTAAACATGCTGCAATTTTGAAAGGAATCATGTCAAAAGCGTCAAAGAGTTTGTCCACGTCTTTGACTTTTTGTGTGCCCAAGACCAGATTGCCATTATTATACGAATTGTATTCCATTTGATGATTGTAATTTACAAGTGATGATTGTATTTTTCCAATCAACTTTTCGCTTATTTCTGCCACAATATCGCTCAAACCTTGTGAGAATTACGTTGATTAATTAAGTTCCGACAGAATCTTTTTTAACTATATATAACTGGCATGGCAAAGCCCCCTCCCCCATTTTCCATGATGCCTCCACCAGTCAACTAGTTTTCCCCCTTCCTCAGTTAAGGTCCCTTTTTCTCTAAAATATAAGCAAAATATTGGAAGGAAAATGGAATTTAGAAGGGAGTTTTGATATTCAAGTAACTGAACCTTCCTTTGTGAAACTTATGTCATGTGTTTTATCTTCTTTTTACATTGTGTTGTAAATACTTTAGATTTTAAAGTCTTCAAGTGGATAGCATAGCCCAAACCCTATAAATTTGAATTGTTGAAGGCTAGGCTGAACAAGTTAGTGGTCATGTCGTGGTATTTACTGATAAACATGCATACCATGCAAGGACTGAACTCAAGATTCATTCTGTCTACAGTATAAAGTGACGTACGCGTACGCTGTATATACAAAAATCTCCTTCAGAAAACGCAGGAAATGCAATCGTAGGGGTAAAAAAATACGAACCTTTTCTGGGAGAGCCCCCAGGCCTCTCTATGATATGACACCACACCAAACTTTGGATCACTAACAACCATCTGTCGCTTCTCTACACTAGCTTATGGTATGATCCCTTTCTGTATATGCCCCCCCTGACTAATTCTTAAAAAGTCTCTGAGTTACGATTTGCAGTAGGTACATAGACCGTTGGGTCGTGGGCGCCAATTCGACAAGAGTGAAAATCAGCCAGCTAACATCATGCATTGCGCCTCGATACCTATTTTAGATCAAACGTCCATTGCATAATTGTAATTATCCAACACCTGGTGTAAAACAGTGAAAATAGTGCCTAATAAAAAAAATTCTGTCCCTACCTTACACTTGGGGCGAACATAAGACATGCCAGAAAAATAATCAACAAATAATAATACAATATTTGTTAATAGAAGTTACCAAACCGTTTATTAAGAATTCATCACAATGGAATAATAAAAACATATTAATGACGTTAATCGCTTAAATCGTCAATTAAACAAGCTGAATAAATCATGAAAATGTTGAATGTTGATTACTTGGTGCAAACTGCGCATGTCAATTCCGAACCTTGTACATATGGCAGACATGGCAAAGCACCACAATAACCCTCGACCACATACAACAAACCACCGTTTAAGTTTGCTTGAGTTCCTTGTCTAGCTTCTGGGGCACCATCCACACAAATAAACTGACTTCGTTTATGGGAAATGTGTTCCGACATTAAGTAACCATTGTACTCTCGGGTCCAACCTTTTGGACAGACGTTGCGAGCAGGGATCATCACCTGACTTCCACGTGACTCAGCAAAGCACACGGCGCATACTGCTTCATGGTCATGAAGATTTTTCGGGAAAAGAGGTGCGTGTGAATTCATTTCGTATTCAATTCCATATACATAGGAATAACCTTGGTTGCCGCTGACTGTCTTACTGTATATTGGATCGAGTGGCATACAGAGATGGTTTGAACCACCACCGTTATGAGTATAGTGCGAACCACCCATTACACCTGCAAGACAAAAGCAATACTGTGAAGAAAAGAATCAAAGTACCATTCTCACATTTCGTGCACGAATGTATTTCCCTTTCTTGATATCATGTGTTTGAGCGTCTATAAAAGCCGATTTCAACTAGACAATGACTTTGCCTAAAACTCTGGCATGCAACCTGTTTACTCAGGTTGAGTTATAATGGGTAAATGAAGCACACAACTCACGCAACTCGCCTATATTGTCGTAACTTGATTTGTACGGTATTACTCAAGTTGTAAGCAGGTTGCATTCCACAGTTTTAAGCAAACGTTTTATGCAAACGTTGTTTTGTGTAGATCGGCTTTAAAGTTTTCCCTCGGTTTTGTTGCTGAAGTTTCCCGCACAACTTTTGCCACCTTGGATTTCATGACTGAAATAAAAATCTAAATGTTTGTATATTGACAGCGAAACATATACACACCCGAATATAACAGGGTAGTCCCACTACGACAGCTCTTCCTACCCCATCTTGTATACACGGATCCTCCAGAACCCCCTGCTGCTCCTGGTTTCCCTCGAGGTCCTTGAGGTCCAGTTTTTCCTGGTGGTCCTAAAGGAAACATGTGAAGTCATTTTTCACCCTGCTCGGTTTCCTTTGTTCTTATCGGGGAATATATTCAATTAAAATTCCCCTATAGTCAATTTCCGTTTAATAATATACAAATAATGAATGTTTATGAGTGCAATGGTAAGAATATTTTCATGAGGTGAAAGATGGAATGTTCCATTCAACGAGGCGACAGCCGAGTTGAATGGAACTTTCCATCTTTCACCGAGTGAAAATATTCTTACCATTGCACGAAGAAACATTCATTATTTGTTTTATATAATACCAAAAGTCCAGAACAGACTAATACATTCGTATGACAAGCATTTTGAGGGATGCGATTTATCGAAAACACAAAGAGTGCAATTGTACTATACGTTTTATTCCATTGCACTCGCGGAGAGTGCAATGGAACGTGTTCCATTGCACTCTTGGGAAATGGAATTTTCTATTCAATATCACGTGACCATAAACAGCCAATTAAACGATTAGAATTTAATAAGGTATTATATAATTCCGTCTAATATTTGCCTGCAATATCTTTGCAGCACAATAAATGAGAAAAAAAAAACATAACGAAGACAATAATATAAATTATTTCTATTCTGAATCTTAAATTTAACGCGATCTCGCAATGTGAAAAATAAGTACGTTATTTTGAGGCACCTTGGGGATATGTGTTTATTCACGTCGGCGAACCTATACTTATTTCATCCACTGATCTGAAATCAGATCTGGATAGTTTTATCTTAAAATTAAGCGGGAGATCGTCCATTAATAAAATTGAAAAATGTCTGTGTGTCAATTTTCTGAACTGGAATGAATGTAATTTAACATTTTTGGGTTACAAAGTCAGTAGTCATTAAATCAATTTATTTTTCACCCTGCTCGGTTTCCTTTGTTCTTATCGGGGAATATATTCAATATTCCACTCTAATCAATTTCCGTTTAATAATCCCTTCTAATATTCACCTGCAATTAATAATCCCCTCTAATATTCACCTGCAATGTCTTTGCAGCACAAAAAAAGAGAAAAAAAAACAACATAACGAAGGCAATATGGCATTAAGAATTATTTCTATTCTGTCTCATGAACGCAACCTCGCAATGTGAAAAATAAGTACGTTATTTTGAGGCACCTCGGGGATATGTGTTTATTTACCTCGGCGCTGCGCGCCTCGGTGAATAAATCACATATCCCCTCGTTGCCTCAAAATAACCTATACTCAATTCAAACAAAGCCATATTTTTTACATTTGTTTTCATAGTATAAGCAAATTTTGATAATTGTGTTTTGCTACTTTCATCTTCTCCACCATGCATAGACTGGCTAACAATAACTTAAGATTATTTACTATTTCAACGCAGTTACTCCATGTTTTAATTGTCTGCAATCCAGTTTAGTTTGTATTCTGCAGTAAGCTGTCATGTATTTATGTCAACTTATATGAAAGAAGTTATCATTTGGTCTATCGAGCTAACACCAGCCTTTCGTTGCGATGTAAGGAGCAGTGGTCGTGTACTAATGGCTCCACGAATCACGTTTCCTGAAATGTTGTTGCATTGATATAAATGTGCGAGTTAGAAGTTTTCTTGATCTCGTCTTTTAGAATAAAAGGACAAATCGGATTATACGTAAGTCTTGGATATATTGGTTGACAAATTTTAATTTTTACTAAAGCGAACTACAGGTATGCTGTAGTTAAGTTACTTTAACAAGTGAAATTTGGTGTACCTGGAACAATGCTGTCACGTCCATCTCGGCCTATGGAAACGAAAAATTTTATAACAATAAATTGAAGATAAGGCAAAACTAGGGGTCGCTTGGCATTCACTTCTGCTGTTTTCAAGGCGGCACAATCGTGTAAATATTAATTATGTCATATATAATACCATGATATGTCTCATTTGACTTGTTAATGAAACGATAATCGAGATAATAAGGCTTTCATTGAATTGGAGTTCAATCGTCTCTGTAAATTACTATTTAGTAACTATTTTTGATGTTTCAAAACTGGTTTCTATTTTCCCAAGGCTATTTACGGTAGTTTATCTGTTTTTTTTTTATAGATGCAAAGTAGTCCGAATTAATTGCACAAACAGTCGAGAGCCAGTAGCACCAGCGAAACGGGAGAAGACTTCAAATGGAGTTTCGTACAATGGCTAGATCGGATAGGCATAAAATGGTATAAGGGATCAATGACTTTATTTGTTTGCTTGAGTTCTAACATTGATTGTCAAGAAATTTCAATAGACGCTCGGCTCTGGATATCCTTTTAATACAGTATTCACCGCTAAATAGAACGAAATAGTTTTCAGTATTTTTTCTTTTACGAAGAAATGTGTATTCAAATGTATATGCAAATAGTATCGAAGATAGTTCTTTTTCGAATAGACCCACTAACATGTTGTTTTCTATTATGCTCACCAAAATGATATCTAACTGTTATTAGCTATCGTTTCAGTTTCAGAGAATAATACTGTTACACACACATTACTAATTATGTAAAATAATATATGAAAAAAATGTCTGGCCACTTACCATCTCTTCCAGGCAGGCCTCGTGGTGGATAGTCTGGATCTTGGAGATCCGATTGCAAAACATTATCATGATTTATTTTATCCCTACAGAATGAACAAAGACGAATTAGCTAAACGTGTTAATTTATTACTGTTGTTAGCAAACTAGCTTGTTTCATAATTATATTAAATGTTCACTGCTACATCAGCACATATTGACCTTTGCAGATATAAAAATATGCTGCTGCAGTACATGACTTCTGGAGGACAAATTGAAAGAACAGCGTCCCGGTATACTTGGAATAGTTAAGTCCAGTTTCTTTCGTACAAGCACGTTCTTGAATGCAGTTGCTTCGTAGCGTGTCCAGGGGACTCGAAGGCTGGATAGCGCTATCCACCGAACACTAGTTTCTTGATATTACTATGCATCACAGACCTCGCAACTTTATTTTTTACAAATTCTAAAGTTTATACTTGGTTATATCAAGAGACGGACAATTTTATAATGCTCAAAAAAATCACTATCCGTTGGATATAGCGTTATACCCGTCTTCGTACAACCAGCCCTATAGCTAGTTAAATTAGTCACTCTACAGAATGCTATAGGTAGATATATAATAGGGTATATGATTATAGTTAAAGTATTTGCTGAGTAAATCGTTTATGCAAGTGCTGGTTTGACCAGTTTAAAGAAAGTTACGTATACTTCTTCACCTCAAAATTTGGTCGACTAGGACGAAAATGTCAAAATTTCAAAAACATCATGACAGGATGGCTAAACATGTTTTTTTTTATCAACTAGTGAAGTCTTTCTTTAAATTTCCATACGTTTTACGAAAACAACATAGACTTTAGAGAAGGACGTGAGATCTTATTGAATGTTTACACCTGGTCATGGAAACAGGCTTCAAAAATCCTCTCAAGAAGTCGTTTTACTCTACGATTTCAATGTAAAAAAATTGTACATGGCTACTATGCCAATGGTGTGTATGAGAGGAACATAGGTACATGCTACAATTGCATAATTTTACTCATTTACATGATTTTACTCATTTACACAAGATTTTGAGAATGTGTTAATTCTGCTAAATTTTCTATTTTAACGCTATTTTTTGTTGAATTTTTGGTTCCAAAGAACGAACAAAGTTTCGTGTGAAAAACAAATCAAAGAAAAAAAAAATCGTGTCAAAGGGAAAAGATGGAAGATGGCGATTTATAGGGGCTAATGTTTTGAAGGAAAGTAATGTTCATGGCTCTCAATCTACCAGCCATCAAAACTCTTCTGATCCAGATCGGGCCATATAGGACGACGATTTATTCAACGAAACTGATGTGAAGTCATCATCGGTAGGGAAACTGGAGAATGCTAATTTAGAATCATTTCAAACTTCTGAAGTTGAAGGAATAACTACAAGGCAACTTTCACAAGAACAAGAAGGATATCGGGTTGTTTGTATTGAAAACATTAGAAAAATCGTTGAGCATATATAAGTGTTAAAATGGAATGGTTATAACTTGTGAAGATGCTTCAAAACGTGCTAAACTGAGAAGTAGTTATAACTTTGAGTGCACAGAATGCAAGCAGAGGGTTGACACTTAATGACATGGATATATCGAAGCCTGTTGAGGGAAAGGCATGTTCTTTTGATGTCAATCGGAGAAATACTTTTCCTATCGGAGATCTGGGCTAAGGTTGGGAAATTCTTGCAACTATGGCATGATTTGAAGGCACTGGAAGGAGTAACGTATGAGAGGGCGGCATTTAATGAGGATTGTTTGAATGGTTCAAGAAAGAGAAAGAAGAAGACAGGGAGAAATAGTGGTAAAAAGGGCAAAAGCAAGCTGCCAAGAAAAGCGTAGAGCCTCAAACACTCTTAGAACACTCAAGCAACAAGTTCCAACGAAACTTGAACTTTAATTGCCTATTTCTCAAAATGTGACATTTGGGTGCACGCACTGATCTGAAATAAGACTGGATAACGCATGTATAGTATAGAAAAGTGAAGCCGGAAGTCACCGGCCGCCACCTGATTCTGGGGCCCCACTTTTGTATAGATTTGTATTACAGACGGTAGTTTTTCGCGTTTTTTGCCTTGGCTACGTTTCTGACCGGGCCAATTTTACAATCACAAAGATAGAAGCATATAAGAAGAAATTTGAGCAAATAATTTGGAGTATTATGGCTTTATAACGCCGCGAAACGGGATTTACAACTCGGAAGGAGTGGAGAGCCACAGACTTTGTTTATCAACACGAGCTCGTTTTGCTACTTTATACAAAATCAACTCAAAATATACAAGAATTACTCTTACTGGACGAATATTCTCTGGAAATTTGAAGAAATGAAGCAGCTACATTGTGAACAAAAGCGTACTGAGGTTTAAATAGCTTTAAAATACCTTGAGGCTGCTTTTATAATATTTATATGAATTAATAAGGAATAGTTTTAAATATCAATTTTGTCAAGAGCATTCCTCGGCGCCTTGTCGAGAAGTTTTATATGTTTTAAACAGGGCCGTCCTCAGGAAATTCTTCAGGGGGGGTGTAATTCAATTCAACCGACTGGTTCAAAAAAATTTTTCCGGAACAAAATTTTTTCGGCGACCTCCCCCCCCCGTCGCCAAAAAATTTCGGTCAGTGTACCATTTTAGGGGTCCAAAAAAATTTTTCCGGACGTACAAAATTTTTCCGGAACATTCAAAAATTTTTCGCACATAGCAAATTTTCAACATTTTTTAACATTTTTCCAAAATTTTTACATTTTCCCTCAAAATTTTCCTAAAATTCTAATTACCAACACGTTCTTGCCCTTTGCGCCAAAAATATTTAACCCAAGTAGCAGTTCTACCGACTGAATAGCAGTCCTACCGACTGAATAGCAGTCCTGCCAACTAAATACTATTACTGGGGGGGTGTCACACCCCCCCACACCGCCC